CTTACGTTCCCAATCTCGCCGTCCGTATACATAACATACACATAATATTTGAGATAAAAATTTAATTTTCTTTTTTATTTCTAATGCTCGAAAATAATTCGTTTTTAGATTAGACTCTATTTTATATATACTGTTATTTTAAAAAATATTTTCACTTAAATCAGTCACAGGTTTTATTCAAACTTTTAAAGTAATTTATTTGAATGATAAGTTGGACAAACATTAGGCACTGGCACTTATTTTGTACTTCATTGTGACAGTTACTGCTTGACAGCAATAAACTTGATTTCCAGCACCAGTTATGGTCTTTATTGTAATGTATAACGAATTAAATTATAAAAAAACTTTTTTTGTGTGTAAATCATTGAATGTTTCGAGATAAAGTAGAAAAAATTATGATTTCGCAAAACCTGGATATCGTATCACTATTTTCTCCGAGACATGCATTTCTTGTTATAAATGCGATTATTTGGTTAAATATACAGTAAATATATAACAAAACAAACTATGTCTTACGTTCCCAATCTCGCCGTCCGTATACATAACATACACATAATATTTGAGATAAAAATTTAATTTTCTTTTTTATTTCTAATGCTCGAAAATAATTCGTTTTTAGATTAGACTCTATTTTATATGTACTGTTATTTTAAAAAATATTTTCACTTAAATCAGTCACAGGTTTTATTCAAACTTTTAAAGTAATTTATTTGAATGATAAGTTGGACAAACATTAGGCACTGGTAGTTATTTTGTACTTCATTGTGACAGTTACTGCTTGACAGCAATAAACTTGATTTCCAGCACCAGTTATGGTCTTTATTGTAATGTATAACGAATTAAATTATAAAAAAAACTTTTTTTGTGTGTAAATCATTGAATGTTTCGAGATAAGCATCTTTTTTAATACTAAAGCGTTTTGGACCTATAGCATAGTGATAAAAGAGGCTCTGTACGTAAAGAACAATATTTACGCTAATAAACCAATTTATATGTCATTTATATATTGTTTTGTTTGATACAGGCAATTTATAGTTATTTTTATTCAATAATACGGGATATCATATCGTATAAAGTTATATTAGTCCAGCCCTTTATGGGTTGAAAGTAATCAAAATTGATTTCACGAATAAATTGAATACATTATTTGAAAATAAATTATTTTCGTGAACTTAATTGGTGTATAAATAAAATTGAATGAAACTCTAAACTCGAATAAAAGATTTATAAATAACATTCACTTTTAAAGTTAGAAAATGAATTTTATTTGTATTGAGAAATATATAATAAATAAAACTAAGAAACGGGTGATAAGTGTTTCAAATGGAAATTATAAATTATATTCTGGACTAATGATTGAATGCTTTGCACAAACATTTCAAGTAATGGTTTCGCGATTTAAGTTAAATGAGTTTTGTTTGGAAATTAAGCTGAAATGAGATACATGTCTGTTATATGTTAGTGCAATATATGTTGATTGCATATGAAATAAGAGGTCAGTGGTAGTGATATTTGGCGTATAAAGTGGTTGCGGACATAAAAACATTAATTAAGACAATAATGACAAAAAAGTGGAGTTTTGTGGCAAAGAGTTCTTACGACTCTTATTGGTCTAAAAACAAGACTAAAGTGTTTAAGCATTAGTGTCGGAGTAGTTGTGTTTGTTTGTAATGTTTTAAACAAATGTAAAGTAATTACTTTGTATGAGTTAATGAATATAAAGGGAGCAGAGAGTGGTATACCTGCGAAGACAGCGTTTTGATGGGTCGACGCGATTGTGAACTCTATTAGCTCTTCGAGCGGTTCATTAAAATACTCGCCAATTATGTTAAGCTGACTCTGGATGTTAGGAATGCCCCGCAAACTACTCAATGAAAGCAGTAATCCATAGAAAAAGAGGTTTCGAAAGTTCATACGAAAGGAACGGCAGATCAGTCCACACATGAGACATAATTGTGGCACAAATAACAGTTTGAGTCTCATTATTAATAAAGACATAATCATAAACACAATGGTTTGCATTATATTGAATTGGATGATAGGCTTATGAGGCTGTCGGACACATGAGATAACAGTGCCCAACACCGACACCGGCACTAATAGAGTCAATGTTATTGATTTCATGTCTTCTAATGGCATGAAATCAAATTCTGCAGAACAGGTGTATAACAGGGTATGAAAGTCACTGTAAGATGTTATCTTGGATAACAGTATTTTCCATACGTGAGAGTCATCCCGATTGTCAGTCAGGTATGCGATCAACACTTTGGACACAAGTGTTAGACTTAACACAGACATGCAATTCAGCGAAATCATAGCAAAACGTTTTAATTTATCACTAGTTATTAGATTAAAGTATTTAATTTGTATTATTGTCTCAATTATAGACTTTTCGTGCTTTGAAAGCAAAAGTTCGTAAAAAAGATTAGAAATAATGAAATGAAAATATAATGAATTAATGAGATATGTATTGAAAAACATGAAAATCGTTGCAAACACTACTGAAAATGCGTTTAATTTCATGACTTTAATGAAATGATGACTATCTATAGGATTAGTGCGCTTTTGAAAGCATTTAAACGTAAGGAAAAGACATATGAGTTGTGATAATAGAAGAAATGGTGAGAATTGCCAACAAAGATGCAGACAAACAGTGATTGATGTCAACAAGAATGGGTTCAATCGCTTCCAATTGGTATGAATCAAGTGATTGATATAACAGTGAAGAGAGAGATATAACGGATACCCAAACGACTCCCTGAGTGGTGGCGTCCACTGAACGCGGGAACAGTTGGAGTGATTGAAGGCAAACATGAGGACTGATAAGAAAGCGCCCGAAAGACTGGAATCGCTTATTATGTAAGAAGTTATGAAAAGAAGGCCACAAACGATACAATTGAAGGCAAACAGTGAATAGACATAGAAATAGATGGGTTGCTGAAGACCAACACAACTCTCCACTGGACTCAAGTCGTCTCCTCTGCTGATGAGATAACACTCTTTGAATGGTTTTAATGACAGCAAAGCCACCGTTTCACTGAACACATGGTAAGCCAAACCGATCACCACTTCTGGATATATATTAAACTTCTGCAAAGCGTTGATAGTATCGGGAAATTGAGTCAAATTGTCGTAAAGTATTGAATTGAAGGCATCGATGAGCCGCACGGATGTGAGGTTTGCGTGGATCGGGTCGTGTGTGTCGGCCATCCGTTTGAAGTAATTGTAATATAAAGCCATTTCTGACCGAAAACTCATTTCCCGTTCAGTTTCCGATAAATGACTGAAATGTCTGTCGTTTTCAAACATAACTAAAATGTGTTTATAATATATTATACTTAATATTATCGATATAAAGAGCACTACTGCTGATTTCACTCTCATTTTCATCCAGTTAGTAATTTCTTATGAATACAAAACACTAATTTCACATTTACAATTTAAATTTACCCTGTTAACAATCTAAACTTATTTTCAAATTGCATTTTACCATGCTACACTTTGATTGTTTTGATGTGAGTTATGACATCTAGTGGACACATATTTTCATTAACTTTAAATCACTAAAGTTTTACAGTGTATCAGTTAAGTGTAATTATTTCCTTACTACCGGTAATAATAAAGTAATTTTATTAAATGTAATATATTTTAGTTATTTTAACTGAAATTTATAATATTTTATACGGGAATATAAGAAACAAACGAGACATTGTACAGTAGTTTATAAATCACACGACAATATCTCAATTATTTTTATGTAATATTTGAATTAATAAATATTAATCTGAATTAACGTATATTACTATAAAACAAATAGTAAAACATATAAGAAATGAAAATTCAATTTACAAAAATACTGTCCATTGGTTTTGAATAAAAGTCACACAATTTAGTGGTCAGACGTGGAATCGGGTTCTCCCTTAACCTCCACTTTAATCTTTTTAGCCATCGGTTCCTCACTTTCGTCACCATCTGCCGCAAAATCGGCTGAAATATTATCAACTGATTGGTTGCCATCATTGGATGGATTGGGTTCGGCATTACTCGCGTTGTTTGGATCACTAGTGGAGTGATTGGCAGCGAATAGATCGCGAACCAAATACTTGGAGACACCGGCGATCCCTTTGGCCTTATCTATGTTGGACAGGAGGTCTCTCTTGACAGCCCTCTTGCGGGAGGGCTCGTACTTCCGGTACTGCACGTGACGGACAAAGTCCACGCAATAGATCTGTATATAAAACAATATTTTTCATACGTTGATCACTTTTTCAAGCACTTCATACCACTCCAGATATCATTATTTCACACATCTTCTGGTCGCCAGCGAAGGCCTGTTCGAGGATCTGAGTGTTCTTGTGGTCATAGGCCCAGAATCCCGACCCCTTCCTCCCCTCGTAAAACCATTGCACGGAATTGAAGGCATCGGACGGACGGTCGCCATTCGTGCCATTCCTCACAAATTTCGGTCGATTTAAGACATTGGCGTCAATTGTCTGCAATGAATGCAATCATGAGTACAATCATATCATTAATAAGACAAATGGTTGGATGTGTTACCCGACGACAAAGCGGACACTTATTGCTGCCATTCATCACAGGAAACTGCGTGTCCATCGTCTTCTACACTAGCGTAAAGTTAACTTACCGTTTGTGCCCACTTCTGTACGTTTACCCTGTGTGAAAGCCTGTGAGGTACAGATATACCGTAGGTGAGATACTAGTGAAGATTTGAAATCACTTGAACGCTAAACGCAATCAAAATTCAATGATTTGTTCAAACATTTCATCACTTTTTGAAATCACAAATTGACTCAAAAACAAGTGTTCACTCGTATAACACGTTACCATTCAATGAAAGCCAATTCAATTGAGGCATAGGTGGTGGTCGATAGTTTGTGCCCCCATTATATCGCAAACTGGTTTACATACAGTATATCATAAATGACAAACATTTTGTTACCACCCATTATAAAGCGTTACGATATATGTGTTAATGATTTCATATGCAAAGCCGGTTTGATAGACAGACACAGCTTTTGCACTCAAAAGTACTGCAAAAAAGTATTTGCGATCAAATAAATGACAAGTTTTGATATGAATTAGACTTTACTCGCGTTTAGTCTATAATAGTCTATAAACTGTTCATTTGAATGATACTTAAACTACTGTTTAGTAAACCAATAGTTTTGTGCAAAAAATTTTTATTTTATATCAATTTTCCTCATATTTTGTGACAAATCAAATCAAATCCATTGAATTGATGACTCGTTTGATGATTAGATTTAATGAATTGTTTGATTTATAAATAAATAACATTTTCATTGCATTTATGATTAATTAATCAAATATTTGGCACAATATTTGCATTTCAATTAATCATCAATTGATTGATTAAAAGGACAATTGATTTGATAATCAAAGCAAACGCTTAATTTGAGATCAAAATATCTGTGAAAATGTCTGCAAAACTGTTTGGTTATGTGTCTCACTCTTCAGCCAAAGCATCGTTGGTCTCGACATTAAGAGCCAATCGATTGTCTCTTTTGACGAACAATCACTTCCGATGCCTATCGACGGCCCGTAAGTAGTGATTGAGTGGATGAGTGATGACATGTGTAGTGATGTCTTGTATGTCTTGTATGGTTAGGTCGGACTCACGTGAACTATGAGGTGAAGGACGGCATAGCTGTGGTTCGCTTCGACTCTCCCAACCAAAGAGTTAACAGTCTTTCGCGTGAAGTCATGAAAGACGCCGAAGAGGTGTTCAATGAGATCTCCAGTTCCAGCGCAGCCGGCGTTGTCTTGATATCCGGCAAAACAGACTGTTTTATAGCCGGCGCCGACATATCAATGCTTGAGAGATGCAAATCAGCCCAAGAGATAGAAGAGCTCTCGAGGGGTGGACACGAGTTCCTGAACCGAATCGCCAATAGTCCCAAACCTGTAGTCGCAGCCATTATGGGCTCATGTCTTGGAGGAGGTCTTGAAGTGGCTCTCGCCTCGCACTATAGGATTGCCGTTACGGACAAGAAAACAAATTTAGGATTACCTGAAGTCATGTTAGGTCTGCTTCCGGGCGGTGGAGGAACTCAGCGATTGCCTCAACTCGTAATTAATTGATTAATTGATTCATTGATTGAATGCTTGCCATAACTACTAATTGATTGTTCAGATCAATGTTCCCGACTCTTTGGATATGATGCTGACCGGGAAGATGGTTAAGGCGGATAAGGCCCGCAAACTGGGTCTCGTCGACCAAGTGGTTATGGGTAACCCAGGCCCTGAGTTTAGTGGCCTTCGTGCTTGAAACCTCATGAACCTTCTCCACCGGTAGCGATGACGGTTTGTCTAACGCTCGCCCTTCGACTTCCAATGCGCTGTTTCTGGAGAGTGGGAAAGTAAGACAATGTTTAGGCCCTTCTTATTGTCTATTTTTTGATTGAAAAATATTTTCAGGACTTCTTCGCTCTGCAATTGGCGTTAGTTTTATTAGAGACAAGATTTTTGATAAGGCGAGGGCTCAGGTCATGAAATTGACAAATGGCTTATATCCCGCTCCCCTTAAGATCATAGAAGTAGTGAAAACTGGTTTAGAAAAAGGACAGCCGTCTGGAACTGAAGCCGAGATAAAAGGTTTCGGAGAACTGAGTCAAACTCCTCACTCGAAGGCATTGATAGGTCTATTCCACGGACAGACACTCTGCAAGAAAAATAAATTCGGAAAACCTGCCAAAGTGCCCAAGACATTGTCCCATAACCCACGGCCGGATTACCCGCGGCCATATCGTGTTCATAGACAACTATTCCCGATAGTTTGATAGAATTTTCTGCACAGCTGGCGACCAAATCAAGCACCGCTTGTTGTTTAGTCTTGTCGAATTGACACAAAAGTCAAACGAAAGCGACTGACTTTTACCGAAAGGGATAACTATATGGCAAACTTGAATACATCTCTAGACTACAGAAACTTCGATAAAGTCGATGTCGTCATTGAAGCCGTTTTTGAAGACCTGAAAATCAAGCACAAAGTGGTACAAGAAGTGGAAAAACATATCCGCGACGACTGTATCTTTGCGTCGAACACGTCTGCCCTTCCCATCACTAAAATAGCCGAAGGCTCGTTTTCTGGGCTCTTAAAGTAACCTTACGTAATGAAGAGTGGGCAGCTATTCTACGTCAATAACCTTCACTAATGGTGGCTATTCTGTAGCTTTCTCCGGAGTCGCCGCCGTCACCGGCAACCTCTCAAACAGGGAAAGGTTGTGATTGTGGTTAAGGACGGACCGGGTTTTTACACGACAAGAATTTTGGCGCCCGTTATGTCCGAAGCCATGAGATTAATGCAGGAGGGGATCACTCCTAAAGAATTGGATTCACTCACGCGATCGTTTGGCTTCCCTGTGGGTGCGGCCACTCTTATAGATGAGGTGGGAATAGACGTGGCCGCACATGTAGCCGAGGATCTCGGCAAAGTGTTTGGTGAAAGGTTTGCCGGCGCCAACATGGAGGTGCTCAAAGAAATGGTTGTTTCTGGGTTTACAGGTATGAATTTGTTTGCCTTTAAATTTGCGATAATTTTCAACAAAATGTATAAATTTGTGTGAATAGGAAGAAAAGGAGGGAAAGGTTTCTATGTTTACGAATCTGGAGTTAAGGACAGAAAGCTTAACGATAAAGCACTAGAAATACTCAAAAAATATCACATTTCACCCAAACATAAGTATTTAACAAAACGTTCATTAAATGCTTTATATTCTGTCGCATACTTACGGTACAAATGAATTGTTGTCCAACAGGTGTACCCCCGAAGAACATCAGATGAGACTCGCTGTCAGGTTTGCCAATGAAGCTGTCCTTTGTTTACAAGAAGGCATTCTCGAGAATCCGGTATTTGAATGCAACCAATGCTCTCAATTTGGATCAATTATTTGATATGTGAATTACAGCTCGAGGGAGACATCGGCGCCGTTTTCGGTTTAGGATTCCCGCCGTTTTTGGGCGGACCCTTCCGTTACTTGGATTCGTTTGGCGCCAATAAAGCGGTCGATTGGATGAAGAGATTCACCGATGATTACGGCCCAGTCAAGTTCGGGACGGTCGATAACTAGCTGGTGAGTTTGCTGTGCAGGTTCTTCAAGGTGTTTTGAGTTATTAAGAAACTAAACCCTAGTAAGCGTACTTTATCACAAGTTTCGTTACGTATGTTTAGCATATATTTTCTAATAAAAGTTTTTAATTTTTTATTATAAAGAGCTTTAAACTCAATATTTGTAATAATGTTATCGATAAATATGTCCAAAAGAATAAAATATTTTATTCACAAAGTGTTGAATTCTTTTAGTGTTTTCTCAATTGTAGGCGATTTGAAAATAATAGTATTTTGTGAATACTTTTCGATTTTCTGTACACTTCAGTAGATCATTGTTGAGTTAAGTCATTGACACGATTAATGATTTAATCACAACCTCCGCCACAATCACCACCACTTGAGTCGCATTCACCACCTCCTAAATCACAGCCACTACCACCAGCAGCACCTCCACTATGAAACTCTGCAAAACCAGTGCCGGAATCGTTATAAAAGGATTGGGCAGCAAAACTGTTGTCATTCATATTATGCCATCCGGAGTGATGGTAACCGTTGATGTGTCTTGTATTTGCAACAGTACTTCCAATGTTTGTATTGTTACGCATTGCGATACAAGAACATAGATTGACAAGACTTACAGTGCCGCCAATGAATATGACCACTATTATAAACATCACAAACAACTCAGACATGTCTCGGCAATAATTACACTATATTCTTGCAAACATCTTGGTACAAATACAACAAACGGTTTAATATTTCTAATATAACCATCAAATGAAATGTCTTTGATTAACGGGTGGCCTTTTTGCAAGTCTTATTATATATCTGATGGCAATATAATAATTATACAGTTAAAACAATCAACAAAATTTAAAACTCTTTATTTATATTGTGCGCACACTTGTACTAATTTATTCAATTAAATGGATCGTTTTCATATTTATTTGGTGTTATTAGGTCCAAATTGGATATTGGGATCCTAACCACTCAAGTCACGAGACCAGGATGGGTAACTGTCCTAAGGGTAAGGCCATGTTTCAATACAACAAACAAATTTATACAACAAATTATTATGTCAAAGTTATATAAACAGTTTTATTTTAAATGCTATGTTAGCAATTAGAAAGTAATGCCATTAAATAATACAAATATCAAGAATCTGTCAAAATTGTATCAAAAATTGTACATTGAAGCAAGGTACTGTATTGAGATTAGACTTACTGTCAGAGTATTTGGCGCATTGTCAATTGCGCTTAAAATAAGTGATTTCAAAAAATAATATCATTTTGTGAATAAATCATACAGGTCATTGTTGCGTTTAATCCATTATTAGTGATCATATATTTAATCACAACCTCCTCCTCCTCCTCCCCCGCTATCGCCACCGCCACCCCCTGAGTCGCCACCACCTGAGTCACAGCCTCCACCACCTGAGTCGCAACCACCTCCTGAGTCACAGCCTCCACCTCCTGAAGTATCACAGCCTCCAGTATCTCCCGAACCATTACCAGAATCGCATCCACTATCAAAGCCTTGAATTTCTGTGGTAGCAAATGTGTCCTGGGTCATACCATTCCTGAGTCACAGCCTCCACCTCCTGAAGTATCACAGCCTCCAGTATCTCCCGAACCATTACCAGAATCGCATCCACTATCAAAGCCTTGAATTTCTGTGGTAGCAAATGTGTCCTGGGTCATACCATTCCAACCATTATCATCATTAGATGTATTCATGAATATGGGTGAGGGATGCAAATGATTGGGATGTCTTGTATTGCGTCCAGTGTTGGTATGATTGCGACTTAGACCCGCACACATACACAACATAAACCCACCCAGCACTATTGCAACTAATATAAATATTAACAGAAAATCTTGAAAAACCATATTCATAAGTTTGATATTTGACAAACTGATCACATTTCGTACAATTTATATAATATGTTAAATATGTTCGTTAATTGTTTGCAATAGTTTGTGAAATGCAATCATTTCTATGAATTGTATGCATACAATGCAAACGATTACTTGTTTATTATGATATTAAACACAAGTTTATATTAAAAAAAAGTCACTTTTCTACTAATGATGTTAAATCAAAGCTATCAACATTTTGATTATGAATCCCATATTAGCAATTAGCAAGGTATTGCATGGAAACGACGCAATAATAGGGAATGTGCCAAAAGTTGTGACAAAACTTTTACATTAATGGCATTGAAATGCATTGAAAAGGCGTTCACGCAATGTGTTGTACAAATCGATTGACATTTTGTAATACATGTCACAACATTAGTGTCTCAACACTAGGCCCTAAACCTGTATAATAAGTGTACGATTATGTGATTAAAAGGCAAACTGTGTATTGAAAGCAAAGCCAATGAATGAGTGTTTGAATCGATTTATTAGTAAACAAAGCAATCGTTTGTCAAATATTTGAATCAATTTGACATTAATATTGAATACAATTGTAATTTGAAACTGTTTTGCACTACAATTGAATGCAATGCCAGTCGTTGTAAGTATTGATTGAATAACTAATGATTTGTTGCAAACATACAGTCAATGAATGAAAGGTTGATCGCCGGTCAATGCGATTAGTGATCAACCAATGAATGCATGAATACATTGATTACAATGAGTGTAACATATGATGACTGAATGGTGCGGTGATGTGAATGAGATGACAAATGGATGATAAGAAAGCTAAATGTGATGATGTCTTGATAGTGATCAACCAATGAATGCATGAATACATTGATTACAATGAGTGTAACATATGATGACTGAATGGTGCGGTGATGTGAATGAATGACAAATGGATGATAAGAAAGCTAAATGTGATGATGTCTTGAAGGGTGAGATCGGTTTCGCCACTCTTCCCGAACACGTCCACCGAAAGTCCGCCAAAAAGGGCTTTGACTTCACTATTATGGTGGTCGGTATGTGCCACACCTGTCCTCCACTATAGCCATTCATTGTACTAATGCTAGTGTTTGTGTTTGGGTGGACGGGTAGGTGAGTCAGGTCTGGGCAAATCAACTCTAGTGAACTGTCTCTTTTTGGCCGATCTCTACAAACAACGCAAACAATTCAGTGTTGAGAAGCTGTTGGAGAGGACTGTAGTTATCGATAAGAAACAGCTGGACATCATCGAGAAGGGCATCAAACTGAGGGTCACTATTGTGGACACTCCTGGATATGGAGACTCACTGGATCTGAACGACAGCTTCCAAGCCGTCGAGAACTATATCGACCAACAGTTCGACCAATACTTTAAGGACGAGTCCGGACTCAACCGCAAGAATATTGCCGACAATAGAGTCCACTGTTGTCTCTATTTTATCTCTCCATTCGGAAGGGGGTAACCATTCTGTTGTCCACCTATTCTGCGCTATTTTAACAATTTTTTAATATTTTGCTTTCAGTTTATCTCAACTCGACATTCAGTTTATGAAACGATTGCATAAAAAGATAAATATAGTGCCCATCGTTGCGAAGGCAGACTCTCTCACACCTAATGAAATGCATGCCATCAAGAAGAAGGTCTGCACACAATCTATGAGTTGTTTTGCAATTATTGACACATTTATAATTCGTATGTCTTGTAGATCTTAAGAGAGTTTGATGAGCACGGGATCAGTATTTTCCGAATTCCCGAATGCGATAGCGATGAAGACGATCAGTTCAGACGCAAAGACCAGGAAATTAAGGTATTGTTCAGTCCGTGGATGTGCTCTCCATTTGCTTTCATCCATATGTCAATCAATTAGGAAAGCATTCCATTCGCTATTATCGGAAGCACTCAAACCATTGAACACCAGGGCAGAAAAATCAGAGGACGAGAATATCAATGGGGTATTGGACGTTGATTACCTTGGTTAAATACGTTTAGTATACAAATGGTTCACTCATTTTGCTCTTATGTTTAGGTGTTGTCGACATTCAGGACGAAAAGTACAGCGATTTCATTAAATTGAGAACATTTTTGAGGTTTTTATGATTATTACTAAATCTAATTTATAAATCTAAGTATAAATTATGTTTTAGTCTTCATATGCAAGACCTAAAGGACGTGACCAGTGATGTACTCTATGAAAACTATAGGGCCCAACATTTGGCTAAATTGAGTCAACAACAGGAGTAAGTTATGCTTTTTGTGTTCATTTATGGCAATTCTAATGAATTAATGAATTGAAATAATATATAATTAATGAATACATTTGTTGCGAACATTAGAAATGACCCAAACATGACAACTGACAGACTTCTGCAGATAAAACAAGAGGAGATCCGCCGAATGCAACAGCAGTTGGAGATAATGCAGGAACAGCTACGCTATCAGTCCAGCCAACCCGTCAGTAGTGCCGCACAAAGTTGTGACGACTTGTCTCAGAAGGAAGAAGAGTGAGCTGTCTCTCAAAGATAAGTCAAATACAAACCCAAATTTTATATGTATTTCACGACATTATATAAGAATTTTTGGATTTGATTCTCACATTATTTATATGACATTCCGTTTCTGTGATTATATTGATTGTAAAACACATTCTTTTAGTCATTTTATTACAAATATTTATTGCGAAAAGTCAAAACTGACCACAACTCTGATTAGGTGAACAGTAACTGTTACAGAAAATGTGTAATCAATATGCTTTTGATTTGTCAGTATTTTTAGGAAATAGTCTCAAATGTAGATCTGCTGAGACATACAGTTTTATATACCGGTACAGTATGTACAGTAGTTTACAGTGCAGTATATTAAGCAGTAATATTATACTGATTGCCAAAAATTCAATTTAAAATTGAAACTGATTTGCAATTTTTATTTAAATATATACTTAAGAAACACAATATTAATAAAAATAAGTTCAAATTTATTGTTACGACTCATAAAGCAAATGATGAAAATAGAAATATAAAATAGTTTTCATAATCAGTTGAGACGAAAGGATCGATTCGTTGGCAGTTATGTTATGACTGTTTTGAAGGCATCTCTACTTTACTTTCACTTTACTCTAAACGCTATTCTCGAGGAAAAACACTTTTTGTTGAATTTTTTGAGATAATGTTAACTCATTAGTGATGAGTCATTAGTTTGGGTTCTCTTTATTAAAAACCAAATCCCAAAGACATGAATGAAAATTGCGATAAAATTCAGTGAATCTTAAAAAACTGGCAATTCTTGTGTCCCAATAGTAAACAAATGATAACAAAACTGAATGCATATAAATAAGAATTGTATTTCTTTTATATAATACTCTTATTTAAATTTTCTGATATTATTATTATATAAAACACACAAACATTGCTCTTTAATATTCAATTTTCAAAATGCTGTAGATTTGAGTTTTGAATATATTTATCAATTACAGACCATTTACTAGTCATTAGCTATTGATTTAATGATAAAACAAATATTCATTTAATAATTAGTGTCACAAATGATAAGCACGTCTTTTATAATACATAAATATTAATTAGACTGCAATTAATTCAATCAGTTTAGTCTTTTTTGTGACATTAATCCAGTCACTTATCAGTCATTACTAAATACGTGTATTATATTATTGAATATTTATTTTATTTTATACTCTTTTATTTTTTACCAATTAATACAAATTTATGTCCATATATTATATTTATTATTAATAGTAGGCGTTTGCAATAAAATTCAATATAATATATTATGCGGTTATAATAAAAATATCTCTGATTTTATTTTTAAGACATGAAACTAATAGTCAATAAATAGTTAGAAAACTGTGAAAACTAGCGTGACATTTTTGTGTCAACATTTATAAAATTATAAGCTTGATGGCATAAGGATTTAAAATTCATTTAATAACGTTTGAATAAAACGCATACAAAAAATCAGATAAATTTCTTGTAAAACCGCACGGATTTGAATTAAATTGCTAAATGTTTATGATATAATATCACGATAGTATACAAATATTTATTTAATTTATAATAAGAATAAAAATATAGTATTTATTTGCAATAAATTTATTATAAGAATGATTGATTTGATACATTTTATAATTTATTACTAAATTTTATTCTTGATCAATAAAATTTAATAAAAATTTTGGAAAACTTAAATTGAAATTTTGTTTTTATTTTGAGAAACATTTGTGCAGCAAATGCGAGGCCAACTTATTATGAGTTGCCATTTAATAAAATTATTATTATTATTTGTGCAAATTATGAATAAATTCGTGAATTAATATATTCTTTAGAAATGCGAAAATTTCATTAACCAAAAGACAATATTGTGTACAAAAGTTATAATAAGTGCTTAATTAGTGAACTCAACTCTAATCGGTAAAGCATTGATTAAGTGATGATTGAATCATATCTATAATGAAAATTCTGTTCACTAGTGAAGGGCTTTGTTGCTAATAATCCTCACTTACGGTATACTTGGGCTACAATTGCTACAAATTCTGTGCTTTACTTCTGTACACCAAATGAATGCTTGCATTACTTGATTAGAATTAGAATTACTGTATGAGTGCTACAGTGTATAACACAACACACACTCTCTCTAATAAATTATTGACTTTAATAAGCAAATTATTAGACTTTCCGTTGTCTTGTTTTGGGATTTATTGCATACAAATATTACCCAGAAGTACGACTAAAAAATAAATAATGATTATATAAATTTCATGTGTCTTTTATTTTTTAAGTAAAAATAAATGAATACAAAAGTTAATCCCTTTTTGTTGTTTATTAGAAACGAGATTTTTATAAATTTTTTTTCTTTATATTTTTATTTTATTCATTAATAATATATTGTTATGAAATGAAAACAGAATTTAAGTAATTCTTAATTAAGTTTTTGTTTATGAATATGAATATCACAGTCATACGAGTTTTAGTGTCTTTTCAAAAATATGACTTTTAAATACAATTGTTTCAAGTATTGAATAGAAAATTGTGTTTTGTATACAAATGAGCGTCGATTGAATAAAACATTGACATTGGACAGGGATATGCACAGACACTGGCAACACTGCCAACAGGTTAACCACAGTCTTAGGTCTAGAGTGTGAGTGACAATAGAGTGATAATTAGCGGACAAACAATTGACTTATTTGAGAGTCAGCGCACAGGCTGTTTGATAGACCGGAAATTATTTTATTCAAAACCGGATCATTAAAAGTGTCATAAAAATGCATTTTTTCATCGCTTAGAGTCACTAAACTTTACAAATAGTTTCATAATAGGATCGTAAAGCTCTGCATAACTTAATTTGAATTAATTAAATAAAAGCCTTTTGATTAAAGTCTAAACACTGGTTATGATATTCACTGCAAAGTATTGTATACTAAATATATTATAATATACGCTGAGATGTGATGTCTCTTACAATGGTTTGAGTTCTTTATAATATTATTATTTTAATTATAACTTAGTTTCAGAAAGGCATCACTCATTCCCTAAACAATTATTACAGACACAACTGATGACAAAAATGTCTCCAAGAATTCATTGCATTAATTGAAAATTTTTGATTGAATTTATATTTCAGTTTCGGTTACAGGAAATACATTTTCTGATGATATGTTTGTTGCAAAATCTTTGGACTTTTATGTTATTAAATATTAATAAGAATTATGTTTTAACGTTAAATATTCACAACACTTTGTCTATTATTTAAAGCCATTTTTGATATTAAATTCTGTTGTAGAAGTAAACCTATTTTTGGCGTTTTTTGATTGAATGTGTTTATCAAAAGCCAACGGATGATCGATACTTATACTCAAGACTACACTTCTTGTGTATTATACTGTACTCTTCTCTTGATTTCCAGACCATTCAATATACAACTTATATAAAGCTATGAAACTTATGAATTAAAATGTATTTTATAATACATATTTTAATATTTGCTTTAAAAGATTACTTTTATTTAACTTAAATGTATTGGAATTTAATAGAATTTATCAAAAATTGTGAAGTGTCTCGAAAATATTTTATATTAGGCTAAACGTGTCATTAACTATAATAACTTAATATCAAATATTATATATAAATCAACATTTCATCACTTTATTAGCCATAAAAATAATGCACTTACAGTATTTTTTATTGCTTTTTATTACGACTATATTAGGATTAATATAATTTTTTGGATACGTTTTGAACTATCGATTATTTGATAAATTTTATGTGCAATAATAATCCAATTTGGTATAAAACTACATTAGACAATATTTCTACAAATTCATGTTTTTACTCATATCTTAATTAATTAATAGTCTCTAATGTTTGTAATAAATTAATTAATTCAAGATTTACTGTACTATACAAACCTTACATTAAAAGAGATGAAAACCAAAACTACTGGATTCCTAAAACACGAGTTTTACGCATATTTGGTGTTTGTATATTAAATTGTCTGACAATTTTTTGCTTAAACCCAAAGGGGAGTAAAAGACTTCAAAAGTTAAATATTTTTCAGAGAATAGTTTCCAGGAATTGTTACTTTCTTTCTATAATATAAAATACTATATTAAATCGAAAGCAATATTTGAAAGTATCTCAGATTTTGTCATAAAATAGTTTATATAAGTTTAGTTCTGATTAAAAATTTTATTTGATTTTTTTTTGATTATATTTAAATTATAATTTACATTGATTATTATTTGGAATTTATGTCAGTATACAGTACTATGACTTATCAATTAACACTATTGATATTATTATTTTTTGAAAATATCAATTTAATTTTTTAATTAATTTAATGCACTATTAAATGAAAATAATAGAATATTTTGACGCCAAATAATTTAAGTAAAGAATTTTAATTAACATTAAATGATATGAATTGTTAGATATAATGAATAAAAGATAAAAAGAGTTCACATTTTTATGAACAGAGATATTATGAGTCAGTTTATGAATGGCATCACAATTATTGATTGATGTTTTGATCCCTGACCCCAAATATGTCTGATATAACCGGTGCTCGAAATATATTTCTCCCGAACAGTCGATTCTTATGGTGTGACTGCAGTTGAAATGAATTACATATTACTTCTCGCAAAATATTACATTAGTTTGTGAATGTATTTGAGTTTCAAACATATGACGCCAATCGGCCGCTTATATGGCATTCATTAACTAATTTCATTGTCTCTCCACTTCTCACTAAATAAACTTTAAATTAAATAAATACTTACTAAATAAACATTTCAAATGACACTGTTTTGCAGTACAGCTTATGCTTTGAGGAGATTCTTATAAATTTGATATCAAATTCTTTTGAACCAATTATTTATGTTCTCTATTAGTGTAACTCAAAGAGGATTTCCAAAAGTTTTCAAAATTCAAAGCATATGTTTTAAGAAATTCATTGAACACTTCATTATTGTGTATAAAAAGAGTGTATTTTATTCGTATGCCTGCGGTTAGAGCTATGAGACCCACACATACATTTCAATTTAGAAAATGTAAATTTCTTTCTCTTTTTGATTGATATTAAACTCAATTCTACACTACAATAGACTCTAAAAATATATATATATAGAGTTTGTTTCAAATATATTCGTGAAACACGTATATGTAATATATATATTTGTAAAAAATCCAGAGTTAGCAAAAAACACATAATTTCCGGATTGTTTTAAAGTTTTTGGTGTTATTTTCAGATTAGATCTGTTTTTGAATTAATGTCTTATAGTGTCTGAGAAGGGAGTCGATCGGTTCGGATCGGAAGTCAGCGTATGCTTCAATAGATTGAAGAAAAAATTAAATTAAAACAATTTCTAAACCCAAACTATTTTCCGTTCAAAATTCTGTTCACTCGTATGTGAAATAAAATTTAAGACAAACCTTAGGATCCGATTGTTTAGCGAAGAAATGGCTCTTTTAATCTTTTTATTGTTTATGTTTTTCGTGTAAGAATTGTTTGACTCACGAAATGTGAAATCTATTTGTTTAAACAATCATAACATGCATCTGTACCTAAACACAGATCTCTCTGTTTTAGTAAATATTGATCCATACGAGCATTATTTAATGATTTATATTGTATTAAAAATTTATTTGAATTTCTTAATGAATTTTTAAAAATTCTCTGACAGTAAACTCATCGATCACTATTGGTATTTAAAATGCACATGAAATAAATATATAAATATAAGGGGAAGATCTTTGTTGGCAATCGACAATAAGAGATGTCAAACGAGTCGGTTATAAATAAATATCTGACAAAATATTGAACGAAGTGTTTGAAAGATTTTCCCGAATTTCTATTTATTATTTCCGAATTATCTTTGCTGTGGATATAACTTGAATGACATATAAGAGCATTATTTATCTGATAATGAAATTTAACGCCACTTTTGTGTTGTCGTAATTTTAGCCATAAATCAATTATGATTTTTAGGCGTTGAATACGAAATTCGTTATTAGTTTTTCTTTTAAATAATTCCGTCTGTTATTGATTTGGGAAAATCTTGTGACTATTTTCTCACTATAAAACATTTGAGACATTTTTTATATGAAACAAAAAAGTTGTGCAAATTATTCATGATTTTTGAGGAGGTATTAGAATATAACGACATTTTTGAAATCTATGACTGAATTGAAAGACTCCAAGACTTGAATTGAAGAAAAAAGAGAAAGAAAAGAGAAAATAGTGTTCAATAATGTATTGGATGTGAGCCTCACTTACATATCGCTTCACTGATTATAAGTATTGTATGCCATCTCTGTATACGATATAACTTATACCAGTATTGAGGCTGAGATGAGCGCATCATTTGTGCCCATCCTTTAGTCGCACAAATCAATTGCATTTTGCAAATAAAATTTGTGCACAAAATCTCATTCAACACACACTTTATTGAATTCAATTTTGTGCTCGAAATGCAATATTTCCATTTTAAACGTCTAATTAATTTATAATAAATGTATAACTTATATTTTTCAGAGTATTGTATTTTATTAATTATATTCTTTAAAAAACACTATAAATATTCTGTTATGATGAACGAAATGAAGGGATTTTATTCATTAATAGCGAGTAATTAAAGTATTTATACAAAGCATTCAAAACTCAAATGATATATAATTTTCATAATTAAATTATATTAGAATGTGATTATAGTGCGAATAGTATAAATAAATGAGATATAAGTATAAATACATGTGATTAGCATTAATTATGACAGAGAGGGCATCATTTGTCTTGACTGGCTTGGAGTTGAGGATCTTGCTCCGGCTAAGTTGTGTGGCCTTACATTTGATAAAAAGACTGCTGTTATTGTTGAGATGGTATTGCATTATACGGAATCGCAATCCTATTATATTTTTAATGGCATAATGTCTCACAAAATCTGCGTTCGGCTATTGAGAGGGAAAAAGTGAATCAATATTTTATTGCATATATTTCTGCCGAAATGATATTTTTTATCACATTTTGGTTACCTTTTGATTATGAATAAACCATTCGAGTCGGGGCTGAGATGTTTCATAAATCATTTGACGTATAGTGCAGTTAACGTTCAGATAGTCTCCTAACATGTAATTTGATTTCAGACCAGAAATTAACGGAACGTTTTCTAATTCATTTGTGCCGTTAATTATAGTCTCCTGACTGCTAACTATTATAATCACAATACAGTTATAAAAATGAAAATCTATTTAAACAACAAAACGCTGTAATTATGTGATACACAATCATAGAGAGAGAGAGAGAGAGAGAGAGAGAGAGAGAGAGACAGAATAACTTTGAACTAAACCTTTGTGCTGGAAATCTGAGTCAATAAACGCTGTGCAACACAAACCAAGTCTTCCCGATATGAGATGCCTTTCCTCGAGTGTGAAACTTATGCCAGAAATGTCTTCATCGGTTGTATTAGACGTGATATAATAATAATCTGGCACTTCGTCTCCATTGATATACCATTTGATTCTTGACTTTGGCTTAGAGTAGGAGGCAATGCAATAAGATGTGACGACTTCTCCGATCGCGTAAAATGTTTTGTAGCCCTCAATGAGCGGTGGTTTTGTCGGCGGAACTAAATGTCATTAACTTTATTACCGAATGCTTTCAACGCTAATATGGCATTTGGTTTGCAACAGTGGACAGGGAGTGAGACACTTGCCTATTACTGTCATATAGCTGTCCATTCGGACCGTTTGGAAAGTGTGATCAGCACTGACTTCACATTTGTAATAGCCTTCAGATGTCAGGTCAATGTCGTACAGAAATAAAACATCACCCGTGGATGAACTCCTCTGTCCATCCAAGTGAACTCCAGGTGCAGCGTTCAGATGTATTGTGGGCTCTGGACCCCAAACTATTTCAATTAATTGACTTTTAGTTTTTCTTTTTTTAAGCTCTTTTACAAATGTATAACATTTTCAAACAAGACATGTTTTTAGTTGAAAAGTTTTGATAAGTAGTATACTTATGACTTAAGTTTGAAACAGTTATTATTTATTGAAAAGGGAATGTTATATGAATTATCTGTATTTAAACCTTAATTAAAATAATCAGTGAAATCGCGTTTTCCGCTTAATTAACTCAAAAGCTATTTTAAATATAGAGTACTTATAATTCATGAACTGACTTAACAACTGTTTTACTGTTAATCTTAGCCTTAATTAGGCTTTGAAACTACTAGTTTTGAAACATACTATTAATTTTCAAATGTTATCTGTCGTCGTGTGGAAACTAAAAGTGCTTTTATTTGATACATTGCTTTCGTTGCGTTCATCCATATATTTATGGCTTGAATTCATTTGAATGTCAAATCAAACATTTCATAATATATTTGTATTCAAACGTACTCTTTGACAAACAATAATTGAATTCATTGTACAGAATATTTTACATTTTAATCTCCAAAGAATTATTAGATTTATTTTCATAAACCAAATGCCTTTCCAAATGAAATATCCGGTGACCTATCGTTTGATCAAAACTTTTACTTTTGTTGATAATTGAATTGAAGCCTAAATGCATTGGGAATTACAAGTGAGGAACCGGCAGTTAGTTATAGCCCGTAAAGTATTGTTTATTGAATTTATTGGGTGGAGTACCCGAACCCAGTTGTCATTATATGGTTGTTGTTTAGCTCTTAAACACACTCTTCATACACGAGTATAATTTATTGATGCTTTCACTCAAATATCATTTGTTTTTACTTCTCTATTAATATGAAAATAAACTTTAAATTTCTATTCATCAAAATGAAAGAATATTGTGCGAAATAAATTGAATTATTTCTTCTCTATTATTTCGTGGCAACAAATGTGCGCTCAGTTTCGCAATTGATTTTCTATTTAATATAATATTTAAAAAAGAATTACTTTTAATGCGCTCACAAAAAATTCAATGAATTTCTCGACAAAAGTAGATTTCATGCGGAGAGCGAGAGAGAGAGAGAGAGAGGTTGTGAACGCAAGGAAAGGGAGCAAAAGGAAACAATGGAATATTATTGACAATTACTATAACTGAAGAATTCTGCATCCCTTTCATTGATCCTCTTATACCACTTGAGTGAATAGAGTCGATCCGATTCTATATTATAATTACAATAAAAAGTTGCGTTTCCTCTGAAGATAACTTCTTTCGGAACATTAATACTGATGAGTCGAATGGCAAAAATTTTTCCGGTGATCACTAGAATAAGAAAATACTTTTTTATTGCTTTTTGATTTGTAGGGATTTTTTGTTTTGTTTCATTGAAAACAATAGAATGATAGCTCTTATGAAACTGAAGCGCCCGGAGCACCGGTTTCTCATATACTGGTTATAACTGAATGCACTCGTGTTTGCTGTTGAGGACAGGAAAAGTCTGTCGCATAAAGTAATGAATAATAAAATTAATATTATTTTATTTCTAAACATTAGTTCATTAGAGCTGTGATGCGGTGCTGAGTACTCACTGTTATGTACACCGCACCCAACATTCAGGTAATAAGTTTTGTGCTGAGAATATACTGAAATGCATACAAATATCAGAGTCAGAGTCCCTTCATTTATATTGTATGACTTCTATCACTCGAATAACTACTGTATTCTATTAGGTGAGGGGAGACATACCATTTGAGACCCACCTTTTCTTTTGCTACCACTTGTGTATATAACTAGCGGTAGAGTTATGTTGTGTTGTGTTATGTTTTGCTGAAATTCTCTCATTTAATGAATAATGAGAGGAAATATCTTTAGCGCTGCCGTAGATTTGAGACCATATATAATGGCAGTCTATTCACAGCACGTACTCGTTTAAGATATAGCATCAGTGCGGGCATTGGGGAGAGCGGGAGAGAGAGAGAGAGAGAGAGAGAGAGAGAGCGGGAGAGAGAGAGAGAGACTTACCTTCAAAAAGGAAAAGTAAGACAAAAGAGTGCATTTGGCGATTCGGTACACGTAATGATTGGGAGACACTCTTTGCACGCGATATAACCGTCAGTTAATAATACAAAAGGAGAATATTTTTTCGAGAAATAGAAATAAAGAAAGAAAAAGAAGTGATTTCTATCTCTTTCTTATATATACTTTATTTGATTGTATAAATAACTTGAATTTATAGCAGTTATATACAATGGTATGAACTATTCTTTATTCTAAATGATTATAACCAATGGTTTGGGTTTCGTTATATTAAAAAAGTTGTTCTCCTTTTGTTGTATCAGTGGTTGTGTTGAAAGACTAGAAGACAATTGGATTCTTTGGCTACAAAAATGGCACACTTTATACACCGCAGGAGTTGTGTTGATGGCGATGTGAGACGTTTTGTTAGTCTATCGTAAACTTTATAACAATAGACGGCAACTGCTCTAACATTTGATGCATAAAAACTTCAAATTAGATGAACTCGTGTTCCGTCTCTTCTTTTATATGACATAAGCGGTGATCATAATGTTGACGACTGCCAGAAGAGGGACTCCCACTAATGCCTGTGCCTGAGCTGGTGTGTCTGAAATGCAACACAAATTAATATTAAAATAAAAGTTAGTACTCTATCAATGAAAGTAGCATACAGTGGGTTCCCTGTACTAAGCGATTGATGTGAAGCTTTTAAATAAATAAATGAGCTTTTCACAAAAGATGAGTTCATAATATTTGAGAATAAATATGATTAGTTTAAGTGAACTCAATCTCAACATTCAATCGATTAATTCAATTTACGAAAGCATTTAAGAGTTTAAATGATGCCAGAATCCACTGTAAGACAGACCATAAAGTTTATTATACAATACAATAACCTATGAATAGAATTGAATGGATATATAAAGGCAAGAATTTCTATAAAAATAATCAACTTTTTTGATGAGAAGCGCTCCCAATATATATAAATAGAGTATAAGAATCAGACATTATTTTGAATTATTAAGTTATTGTAGTCTTAAGTATACATTAGTTGTTTAGTTAGCCTTACATTTGTTGGGCGAAGAATTGTGCGAATGATGTCTTGTGTGCCAACCTATACAACAGGAATTCAATGTTCTCTTTAGTATTATATTTGTCTATTGAAGACATCAATTGTATTCATTCTATCATAGCATTTGCCAAACTCATAACACAAACGCCAAAAATAATGTTTAATATTTGGGAATTTATGGCATACAATACTCTCGTAAATAAAAATTCTTTCTTATGAAACTCGAAGTGAACAAAAATGAATAAAAATATAAGAAAACTTTTCACTCGAAAACTCATTATTTTCAAGTGCTATATACGGTGTGTATGTTTCCAGTGATATATCTCTTATATTTAGGTACAGAAATATTGTAGATGACTTGGATATGGATTTTAGAGTAGAAATAAAAACCATTTTTAACCAACAATTAAGTAAACATATGAACATTTGGTACAAACTTATCGAAAGTACACTTGAAATTGGCGGAGACCTACAGTTGCCTACAATTGCTGTGAACTTCACTTTCGGCGGACGACTCGGAACTACAATTCGTCGTGAAGTCTGAAAACAGAAAACTTTTTGAAATACACATAAAGTGTTTTGAGTGTTTCGGGCTATTGTTATATGACTTTCAAAACGCTAAGCCAAGCAAAACGGAGCGACGCATCGATGAACTTGTGTTACAAAACATACAAAAATGCAAATATTGTGTTGAGGAGAGAGAAGACCATCACTTGGAGAACAGTTTGAAAAATAACGTCTATGTATGCCATAAGTGTATAGACTATATACTGTACCGTAAAAAGTATGGTAGAGTATAAATATGTGGATGCTTTGTATGGACTTAATGTATGATATGTGTATATATTTGTATTCAGTGAACACAATTGTCGCCATATCCACAATATCGGCACAAATAGCAGAGCACTGGTATGATATATCCGTACACTTTTATGTTGTCTGTTATGCATTCAATTTTCTCACGCCTAACGCCTAACTCTTAGAGCAGTTCTGGCTTTCGAGAAATGCTTACAAATAAGTCTTAAACAAATAGCACTGGCTATAGAAAAGCTTCAATAATAGAAACACTGAAACAGTAGGCAATAGTGAGGAATAGTAACGATAGTAAGCAATAGTAGGCAATGACTGAATGACTTTGTGTACAAAACAAGTTCTAATCTCATGAAAACAGTTTTAAGCCGATTTGAAGCCCAGTTTATGCCTTTGAATGACAAATAAAGTTTTACTCGCAATGAATGCCTTTTTGTCTCTAATGAGCTGATCGACCATCCGATCAATTCGTGAAACAAAGCCATTATATAACTTAACTTATATAACATTATTATATAAATTGTATTTAAAATTATATGCCTTTCCATTCCTTACTCTCTAACGACACGAATATGATTTGTGGGCGTCTCTAATGATCTGATCATCTCTGCCATTGTCTTATTATAGGGGATGACTTCTCATTCATTCCCATTATTCCCATTCTATGGCCATATCATATGATTTTGTTTTCAAAATGTTTTCAAACTATGAAACCACACTTTAATTTGCTTTGAGTATAAAACTCGCGTTATATTCAATACGGCTTATAGTCGCCGCTCTTTTTATATTAAATAAATTTAACTCTTATATTAAGTTATATTATATCTACAAAACATAATAATAGTAATAACAATAATATTTGGAGGCAAACACTGAGCCGATATAGCGGTTTTGTATTAGTTATACGAGAATCAGTGGTGAGCGTTGCCAACACCAGCCCTCAGCCACCAGAGCTAAGGACCCATATTTCCGCAATGGAATCGAAAATTGTCGATAAAACTGACGATAAAATTGTAAAAAAGGCATTTCTCGCAGAGCCTGGAGTTAGAAATTGTTTGTATGCCATGAGCTCATAGTGTAGAGGATCTACTCTAGAATCTGCATCACATAGTTATACAGCACATGGAGGTTAGCATGCATTCAGGAACAAAACTCTTATACTTCTCTCTCATCGCTATATACAGCATATGAAGCATAATATTGACGGCAAATATTAGACTCTTTTGTCGAGCCTTTCGATCGAAGAGTGACATGAGATGGTGTTTGGCATCGAATAGATGTTTAAATTCATAGAAATTCATATCTTTTGCCGATTGACTGCTTTTGTGAGAGTTTGTGCATATTTTGGCGTTTATGTAATGAAAGTTTGGGATGGATTCATGTCATACCTGACTGTATGGCCAGATTCCGTGTCTCCATATAATCAGTTTTCTCGATCATAAGTCTGCACTCGTAATGATCGGTCACATCAATACCAGAAGAATATGAGTCTTCATAGACTTGTGCTGTCAATGAGATGTTGTAGAGACCGGACTCTTCACGACTCAGTGAAGTCGTCGTTTTGTCTTTCACTTCAATGGCATTAATACCGTTTGACTCATTTGTTTGCGTTATTCTGAATAATGCGAGCTTTGGTTCAGGAGAGAGTCCGGTGCCCTCACAGCTTATATTCACTCCATTGTCCACTTCGATGGCTTTGATTGTGAAATTTTTAGCGGTTACTGAATGCAAACAAATATTTTCGAAACATTAAATTCAAGTTTATATTACATTGATATAAATAGTCTACTAAAATAAAACATTGAAAATATATTGCAACAAAATTCTATTGTGAGAATAACTTCATTATTCAGGACTGGTTTGCAAAACATTTTCGAAAGATTAATGAAATTCTAAACACTTGAAAAATTTATGAAAAATAAAGCATTCATTAATAAAATTCGTTTATTTAACTAAAATATATATAAATGAACGGAAAGTCTGGAGTTTTTGAAAATGTTCATAAACTCTGTTCATACTGTCTTAACTTTTGAAACAACAAATAAAAATAAATTTGCTTAAAATATTTGAGACCTAAAACTGTCACAACTTTAAATAAAGACTTCGTTATCTTCTCTCCTCTTTATTGATATTTAGTTCCTCTAATAAAATCAATATTTCAAAGAATTTGCGGTTTAAATGTAAATACTTTTGTCAACTAAACAAATATTTTTACGATTTATGTTTGCCAGCAGTCAGACAGCGGTTTTAATATTAAATATTAAATTCATTGCTCTTTACTCTAGAATTTTGTTCAACATTTTCCCAAAATTTCCAAGATTAGCATAAATATATAATTTTCGAGACAATTATATCACATATTATACCATAAATAATGAGTTCAGTGGTCTTAATGTCGTGGCCATCGATTGACTGAACAGTGCACTCGTATTCTCCACTCAAACTCATTGGAGGGCTTATGAGTCGAATGGCTCTGAATTTGGTTAATTTATCACCGATTGAGTAATTCTTGTCTACGAAGGGCTCGATTTTGTCCGAATATTTTCGGTTTTCCTTAGAGATAATCCATTGATAAATAGGTACCGGGTCTCCCTTATGATACCTGTTGTCAATGTGGGGTTAATAATGAAATTATAGTCAAATAGTTGCTTATTACTGTATCGATTATGCCTAACCATTTGAGGACAGCCTTTCTGTCCCTGTGCTCATCCATTTCAAACTGACAGTCAAGAACCACACTTCCAGACGAATCCCTTTCCATATATTGAGTGGGACTTATACCAGTTATTCGCACGCATTCCACGAATATATCTGTTAATAGAAGTTTGAAAATTTATTTTTCAACACAAAAAACATTTGACATATTTTTGTGAAATTCGTTTTTAAGGATACAATTGGAAAGTGTTTTCTCCACAACAGGTGGTTATCGAGTGAAAGCAAATCTAATTCATAGCCCAAAGCGCTGGGCCAGAGATGCGCTTAAGCACTGGTGACCATAATTAGGGTGCCTTTCGATCGCTCGCCAAACCGATGGCTAACAGCCCTAACAGTTGTCTACAGAATTTCACTTCTTTATGATTGTGTTGGCAATTCATTAAAATTTTTTCCACTATTAGTCCATATGTTTGATTGCTTGCAATACATTGCGATTGGAGTGAAAATATTATTTCAGGAAAAAACATATAACTATTTGTTTGAACGCTTTCTCGAGTACTCAAGAGTTTTAGTATTACTTATATTTTTTTGTGAACGCATTACTTGTGAAACAAAATGTACTTATTTTTTATGTTATTATTTTAGTGTGAATTCAGTTAACTGTAAATAGTTATGTCTAAAGATATAAACTCAAATATAAATAGTTAGTCAACTCATAGCACATGGATTGCATGGATTGCATCGCACCGCCAGTCTATCGGAGACTGAGTGCCATTAAAAATAGCAATAATAGCAGTGAATATATATTCACACATTGGCGCACACAATGAGCACTGGGAGAGCACCGGGAGAGCACTGGGAGAGCAGAGACTCACTCATAGATTCATACATTGAGAGGAAATAGAGACTAATTTAGGCCAACTTTGCCTTCAATTCAATGCAATTAAATGATGTGAAAACTCAAAGACTTGGAAAGTATTGGAAAGACGGCAAGTGTTGGACAGAAGTCATAATTGCAGTGCAAAGCAAAGCAAAAACGTATGACTTTATGAGAGAGACAGCACTGAGATTATGGCCAACAGTGGAACACAGGGAACAGTAGATAGAGTGGGGAAAGGGAGAGAGAGTTAGAGATAGAGTAGTGTATGGTATGATTAGTCGTAATATTGGCTAACCCTTACCTCTGAACAGAGCCCAAAAGTAGACCAAAATCAATAAGTTTACTGAAAATGTCTTTATCGACATTATCTTCGTATCACAACTGGAGTCTAAGAGCGCCGGCAGTTATTGTTAGACTTATTGTCTTCTAATGCACTGATTATTTGTGGCGAAAGAGACAAATGTCGACAGAATGTGGCGTTTTGTAGGTCTGTGTCTTCACTCGTCAAAGAGCTTCACAAATACTAACGAAACAAAAAGAAAAGACAATTTGAGATCACATATAGAAAGTTATATGAGTTTTGAGTGAATTCTGGTGTCCTTACAGTCAATAAGCAGTTGATTCACAAAGTGTTTGAATGTATTTTGAAAAACTGTTAACACATTTAGCGCTTATTTAGTTGAGAGACACGGCTTGCGATGGTTTGGTTATGCTGTGAGTTGTCAGCAATAAATGAGTTGATTATGAGCTCACATATTGAGGGAATCACAAGAAATGATGATGAAGTTGGTGTTGGTGTTGATGATGATGACTGTGCTCTCTCTGACTCCCTGTGCCTGTGAATGCATTGATGCTAAATCGAGATGAACCAGATGTTGGCCAAACACCAGCACACCATACGATTGGCTGTTCGGTGGATACAGTTGGCAAAACATCACTCACTTTTTGTTATGCAAAGTCGTAGGTTAGATGCCTTTCCCCTGAGTGTGTGATTGTGGCCCCGCTGACAAACCCCCTATTATTTCCTGCCGCCTCTCTCTTTAAGAGATGTTACTTTTGAAGTGTACTGTAGTTGGAGTAGCCGTCAGAGCCCAAGAACCAGTAGTTCAGTGACAGTGCGAACAGTGCTTTCATAGACTCATAGACATTGAAAAGGACTTAATTGTGGAGTTCGTACCCTGACTTGCATTACAAGAGTTCGTTTGTCTTAAGTTTTATGCATTCGGACGGACGGACCGGAAACTTATGATTACTTGTGACTTAGCTTTAGGCCAAATCTCAGCTAAATATCATTTACAGTGTTTTAGTGCTGTTGGTAGCGCTGTACGGCCGCACATGCCCTGTCCCTGTAGTACGTGTTAGTGCGTGTGCTGTCTCTCACTCCGCGTCTCCATCCGATGCCATAGCAGTCGATGCGATGTGTGCTAAGACTTCACTGAAATAAGGTCTTCATATCGTGTATACCATTGAGTCGAGAGATTTGTGTTCATTCAAAGCCAACACTTCATGATTGAAGTCAAACACAATTCGTTTTGAGTAAGACTCGCTGCTTCTTAAGCTTATTATATGTCATATCATATGTAGAGCACTGGTAGCTCACTATTCGTCATGTTTTTAGTGCATAAACTTCTCAGCGAAAGCTCTCACACTAAATGAGTTAAAACATAATCACATAATTTTGTCATTTTTATATTCTCCAACTTTTTTAGTAAATTGTTATTTACTTTGTGTTTGAGTCAAATGTTTGGCCAAATTTTGTTGATCTTATGTGTCGGAGCGACCAAATGGCTGGCCTTCGGTCTGGAAGCCACGGAATCGACAGGTGAGCCAAAGTTGTCCTTTAATGTGAACATCACTTAAAAGTTTGACATTCCTGTGCTGTTTGCCTCATATGTTTCAACTGACTGTCTGTTTGGCATTTTATGCCGTGATTTGAATTGCATGTTATGTTATGCCAACTTAGGTGAGACTCAGTCAGCGCTTGGCATCCAATTCACTGTTTAATGCCGTTTGAAATGACAGCCAAACGACGATCACATAAATATATTCTTGATTTGGATTTAATCCAAAACTACTCCTCTCTCTCTCTCTCTCTCCCCCCCTCTCTCTCTCTCTCTCTCTCTCGCATTTTCTACGCTCTCTATTGCCATTATATTAGTGTTGATCAGAGAGTCGATCGCTCTATCGGTGTGTCTGTCGTTGTATTTAGTGTTGAATTATTGATAACCGATTAAAGAGTACAAAAAACAATGAAAACACTGAAAGCACTGGAATTTCTTTATATAAAATATTGTTAAGTGCTTCACATGTGATGGTGAGGGCTGTTAGGGCTGAGAGATTGCCAGCGAAGGCAGAGTAAGAGCACAGCGAATGTATTGAGTGAACGTCCAGTAATGCTGTAAAGAAAGGCTAATTAGGAGGTCAACAGGAGAGGAAAGGGAGGAAAGGGCCGTTTAATGCCTGCTTTGGGACTACTTTGGCGACTAAGAGATCAATAAAACGAATCTGACGTGAGATGTGAGCTGAGAATATGCTGCCCAACAGTGCACTCATAATATCAGAATAGCCACAGCAGTAGACTCTGTGCTCACATAATACACGACAAGACAATAGGACTGCAGTCTAATTGCAAGCTTTCCCTTAATTAAAGCAACTCTTCAGTCGTACAATCGGTGGCAATGTTTATGAGTGCCAGAGGGAGACCTAAACTCTCATAATATATACACATAAATGTATGGACTATAAAGCAGGTGCTCTTAACACACATAACATTCAACGACATTAACATTAAGATTGCCATACACTATGGCATACAGAATATGTGAGCAAAAAAACGATTTATTGGTAAAACAAAGCAAAATCTGATTATACTTTTTCCAACAGTAAATATGAAGTGTTATATTAAATATGCATGAATTCAGTATTGGACACGAAAAGGGATGCCTTGCAAGGGAATGGCATACCAGTCAACGTACCATCACTTGCACACAACTACTGTACATTGATATGTATTCACCATTCATTTGATCTATTGTTCCGCTGAGAAGTCTATATAAAACTTAGGAATTGTTATAAATTATAACTCAGTTGAAGAACAAAAAGCAGAGAGAGAGAGAGAGAGAGAGAGAGAGAGAGAGAGAGAAGCAAAGACAGGCAAACGTCAATATTTGTCTACAATTGAGAGAGACATGAATAGACATGAATGCAGATTATAGTGAGATATGAGGGAACGTGAGGAGACTTGTTATGAAATGCGATTGTTTTATATCATAATATCATAAGTCGTTGCAGTGTTTGTGGAAAGGCGTATATCTGATGAAAAATCATTGCAATAAATGATCGGAAGGGTATCCAGAGGTCAAGTGTTTATAACCGGCGTTTTCTAGATTTCCTCCGCTCTGGAGTGCAGTGTCAGTGCAGTTGTGGTGTTGTTTAGTAGTTATGGTAGTGTTGGTGGGGCTGGGAGTTGGTGTGTTAGGGCACTCATACATACATACATAGAGACATACAGCCAGTGCATCTCCTGATGCATATATCCTCTGCTCGGAAACGCTCTCTAATGAATAGTAACCACAAGTCTTTATCTCTGATCATCGATGCGTTGAACAGAGACTAAGAAAATAGTGGAATCGGTTTTGTGTGCAAACCTCCAGAAACCACAACAAAACACATTTATTGCATCTAGGTCTTTCCCAATTGAAGCGATTCTAAAATAAGTGAAGCTTTTGGTGAAATTTCTTTACCAATAGATCACTACTAAGTCTCACATTTATATCATATAAGGCAAAGACATCGCACAGGCATCGCATCTGCGATTAATAGCTAAACATTGCATTAATGCCTCAAAGATTTATTACGAAAGCCATTCGACAGAGAAATCGCTAATATATTACATACAGTTGTGTACAGACTGTCCAAAGTAGATGCTATATGTGCTTACAATACAAACATAACAATAACTACAATAACGCACAAACACTACACTAACCATCACTTCCACCGACCATTCGAGCTGTCATTTCGAGCACTTTCTTGCAGCTGACAGTCCTTACCGTCCCTTCAGTCCTAACAGATCTTCTCTGCCCTACATTTAGCCGACGCTCCAGTCCTTGTCAAAGGTGTTGCCGGACAGTCAGCCGCACTGCCCTGTCATATAGACCAGGCTCAGTGTGGAGAGGTATACTTCCTGACCTGGACCAAACTGGAAAGGGATGACCGCTGGTCCAGGATTTACATCTTCGCCGACAACGTGGAGAAGCCTTTGCGAGACCTGTCCGGAAGGGCACGCTTTTCCCTTCACAAAAGCGAGGCTCAGCTCTCGATTAATCAATTAAAGAGTGGCGACGAAGCTCTCTATAAGGTTTGATATAATCATCAATAATAGCAGTGAATTAGTGTTAGTTTGGGAGACAATTAGGAAATTTTTGTTTTTGATTTGGCTTTCAGTGTGACGTAACATATGTCGGGGGAAAGTGTCCGTCGCTTACATTCGTAAGACTCGAGATAATAGGTAGAGTTGTTTGAGACTTAATTAAGACAAATAGGTTTTTGTCAAATTTAACAACACTTTGCACGTTATAGCGAAGCCATCGAAAGCTTACATTGAGTACAAGAATTCTCAGCTCGAAAATGGCATTGAGATTAGAGGGGTAGAGGGAGACCTCCTGAGACTGGCGTGTATAGTGATTGGGGGTAAACCTATGCCTACTGTCAGCTGGAGAGCGATCGATGAGAACGGTTTGGCCGAAACAATTGAAGTGAAAAATTCCTCGTCATTCACAGACAATATGACACAACTTGTATTAACTAAAAAATTATCCCGAAGTGATTTAAAGAGCAGATATGAGTGTCACGTCCAGCACGAGGCCATCAAAAATAACTCAATGGATTCGCATGTTATGATTGATGTGACCGGTAATTGTCTCCAATCGTTTGTAACCTTATTTAATACTAACTTTTTTGGTAATCAATAAGAAAGTTAATTCGAAAAGTTTTTCCTTTTGATACAAAGTTGGCGCAAAGTCTATAGAAATTGTGGGTCCGAGAGATCACATCAAAGAAGGAGATGTAGCTCTCATACAATGTATAGCATATGGGAGTAAACCGGAGACACAAATAGTGTGGAAAAATGGGTAATTCACTGATTAGACAATTGCATCGGATGTATGAGCCGTACATCCCATAGATCTCATCTGAAATGCGATTTTTGTTATTGTCTTCATTCAGGAGTCATATTATAGATACAGTAGTGAAGAGTGAAGTCGAGCCCAATAGCGACGGATCGACACTTAATACTCGATCTTATTTAGAGCTTCGAGTCTCACGTTTTGATCACTTGAATGCAATTGAATGTCAGGCCAGTAATACGGCGATGAAAGAGGCTATCAAGCAATCGATTGAACTCAAAATTCAATGTAAGTCCTAAAGCCTGAGGCAATCCTTACTTCTATTGTTCCTTATTTTTGTGCAATTCTTACCATTTATTGTAACAATTGTTTTGTATTTCATTTGATTTGGTTTTGTTGAAAAGATCCTCCAATAGTGGTAATGGAGCCAAAGAACGGATTGATAGTGAATGAGAGCACAGATATGGTTAACATTTACTGTACATTTTCATCAAATCCGCCCGAAATCATCGAAAACTCTACCAAATGGTATAAAGACAACCAAATACTAGCGCTCAACGATAGCCAGCATTATATGAGTTCTCTCTCCGGATACCCAATACTTACAATTGTAAATCCAATGCGAAACGATTCCGGAGCTTATTTTTGCTCAGTTTCTAATGATATTGGGATTGGAAAACCAGAAGAGCCCTCACGACTCAACGTATTATTCCCTCCGACAGTCAATCTTCAGATATACCCAAATCCTGAACAGGGATTTACTATCAAAGAAGGAGATGATGTCCGTATGATTTGTGATATCATTGATGGCAATCCACTCAATGCATCAAAGGTTAAGTGGATGAAGAATGGCCACCAACTGGTCAGTGAACTCAGTGGTGAGTCGAGTTCGCACAAAGAGATCACATGGCTTAGTGTCACCCGAACCCTGTCCGGGAACTACACGTGTCTGGCCATCTCAGACGCCGGTGTTAGTGAAGTGAGTAATTCTGTGCAAATTGACGTCAGTTATCCTCCGAGCAAAGCCTTAATCAGACAATTGACTGGAATCCATGCCATCAAAGGACATAATCTAACTCTTGAGTGCATTGTCTCAGATGAGGGAAAGCCGTCGACAAACACTGAGTATCAGTGGGAGAGTGCAGACGGAGTGCCCTTTCAGACCAAACAGTCTATTCTGTATTTAACTGATTTAAAGCTAACAAACAGCGGAAACATTAGTTGTGCGGCAGTTAATGAGGTCGGGATCGGCCCTAAAGGCATCTTTCAAGTGACACCTCTGGCGCCCCCCAAAATCATTGACTTTCTTCCGCCCACTCTCGGTATCAACGAAAACAAATTGAAGACAAACTCCGCTCATCAACACCAACACGAGGAGCCCATAAGCATCTCGTGTCGGATTGAGTGCTTTCCTATTTGCCAAATATATTGGTATAAAAATAATCAATTAATTGACAACTCGTCACAACTTTACACAATCAAGAACTCAATACATCCCGAAGAGCTTTCATTGAATCGTTTTGTTAGTGTCGTCTCGACTCTCATATTCAATTTGAGTGCATTATCGCCGTTAGATCGGAGTCGAGACAGTAAAGTGTTTTACTCGTGTGTTAGCAGTGATAACAGTGTCGGGCCTTCAGTCAAATCGGAAACACAATTCATCGTTGAATGTATGTATAGTTTTATTATTGAAATTCTCAGTCATAACTCATAAATAATGAGAGCCTGTATTAAAACAGTATTGCATTTTTGTTTATATAACTCAATCATTTCTCTAACATATCATCGTTTTTATTAAAAATTTATTCTTCAAAAACAAGTCATCTTTTTTGGACTTCAATATAACTTACACTCAGTTCTGACAGTATTATTACGACTACAGTATATCTCTGATGCGATAAAAATGTTTTACTTTTGATTATGTTTTTGTAGACAATATATAACACATTATTTGAGTTTTTAATTATTTATGAAATGAAAACTCAATTCTCTCTTTCCTTTTCACATAATTTAAGATTCTTATCGATTAAAACGTTTTTTGAATTCATCTGAAACCTTATCGATCGTGAAAAACGAAAATTTTTATTAATAGTATTGAAGAATATCTTTAGTAATATTTAAAGACAGAATTTATTAATAAATAAATTTCAAATGTAATCCAAAACCAAAATTCATTGGAGTTTATTTTTTAAAGTTTAAAAATATATGAGAGAATAAAACACATAAAACCATAAATCAAAACTGAAAACTGAATTTTAAAGTAATTTCAAAATGAGACTAAAAGTGCAGAGAATATAACAAGCAATAAATGGGTAGAAAACAAGCGAAAGTCTTTCCCAACTCGTTAGCACTGGTGTGTTAGCACTGGTATGTTAGAGCACTGGTATGTTAGCAGTGGTGTAGTGCTGTGTTATTCTTGGTGTCAATGCATTAAAGTTTAACCCATTTTATAGTTGACATAACTCTCATAGTTTGTGAATTAAGCCGCACTTTTGGCTTTGGGTTGCTTTGGGTTGTGCTCATCAACTCTGATCGATATGTTTAACATCACATCCAATGCTGACACACGAATGACACACTAAATAAAAGTTTACGAAAATTAGTCTTTTCATAGAAAATTACTCAATAGATTGCTTTTGATCCAAACGACTAATAGTAGTCATCATTGACTGCTCTATTAACTCAAACAATTAAATTTAAATAATCCCCTCTTTTCTCTACTGTCTCTCACTTCCAATGTATTCATAGTATTTTCGGATCCATTCAATCATCCAATAAGTCATATACAAAGTTAGCGAAATATTTCATCCCTTAAACTAATGCTTTGCATTATTTTTATCTCTTTTTACTTCAAAATTGAAAAATTGAAAAAATTGCTCAAATTCCCTTTTACTGGGAATAATGTATTGAATTTTTATGCGAATATAATTTGATTTGATTGTCAGACCCACCGGAGAATCTCAGAGTTCGTCCAAAACGTGTTGATGTGATTGAATACGACATTCCGCCTGAAATCCTATGCGAAAGCGATGCTCTGCCACCGGCTTCTTATCGGTGGCACTCGTCCTCCACTCGAGACAAGTCTATTGGAGTTATTGCTGACACACCGTTGCTATCACTCAATACCACTATTCAAAGGGACAGAGCCGGCACTTACACCTGTATTGCATCCAATCGACACGGAGAAGATCACATCGATCTCCTCATTAACGTCCTTTGTATGATATTCTCTCTCTCTCTCTCTCTCTCTCTCTCTCTCATTCTTATTAATTAAAATTTTATTACATTGTGTAATGTTGTATAGACAGGCAGATATACATTGCGTGATATATTACATACACTGTCTTCATATCAAAAACATTTCATTTAATGATAATATTTTATAAGTTATAACTAATAATGGACTATCATTTCCAGTCGCCCCGACCTGTACTTTATATGAAAGTCGTACCGATGATCAGGAAATTGAGTTAATATGTGCGGTGACGGCCGCTAATCCTAATAATGAGCTTACATTCAACTGGTTTTTTAATAATACATTACTTAATGAGACAATAAGTGATAGAATGGTTAGACACGAGGGCATGAAATCGAAAATTGTGATCCCAATCACTGGTGAGACACTGTTTGGCAGCTGGACCTGTGCTGTCACCAACTCCATCGGACAAACTGATCCAAACTGCACTCTTTATGTGTCACCACCCATAGGTGAGCAATGACATTTTATAGAATTTATAGTAAATGAAATCAAAGCTAAGTTAAAATGAAATCAAAGCTAAGTTAAAATGAAATCAAAGCTAAGTTAAAATGAAATCAAGTCTAATCAGAAAATTATTTATAAGATCTGTTTGTTATTCTCAACCACTATTGACATACAGTAGAGTAAAACATTAACTATACTACAAATAGCTTATAAAGTACCAGTGGTTGACTTAAATTGAAATCTAATGGTGTAATTACAATGTTGTGACAGTAGTGGCGGATTGGGAGGCATTGGGAGACGAGTCAATAATCCTAATATCGACAATAATAGCGGCGCTAATAATTATATTTATTGTCATATTATTAGTGCTGATATGTCTTATGAGGAGACGCCGTCACAAACAAGGTTTGCAAACAATATTACATAAGAATAGTTTGTATGAAAGTATACGTGCTTTGCATGTCTTGTCGCCTAACAGTCCCTCTTTTGCTGACCTTTTCTTTCAGAATCGACTCGAGTTTCGCAAACACGAGAAAAGTAAGTTTAATGCACTTTCCTTTGCTTCATAACAAACAACTTTATATTACTTTATATTATTAAACAGTATATAATATAATACTACTCGTCGCTAATTCACTAGTTATGCGTTTGCATTACAAACACTTCTCTATCGTATAATAGCTCACATTATGATAGAATAATAAATTATAATACATGCTCAAATCTTTGCTCAACACTAAGCTCTAGATTTGCATTTATTTCTACTAATTTCTTTGAATGTAATGCAGTCCCGATGGCAGTCGCTCTCCGACCCCCTCCTCACTGAGCAGTCATTTATCATCAAATCAAGGTATGAATGATTTGAATGAATGCTTGCAATCATCATAAATATAATACTCTATTCTATGTACGAGAAAATGATTGCTATTTTACATGAATGTTACATAAACTGCAAACTAACTGATTGTATGCTTATGTATGTTGCGGTCTGTCATCCAGTGATTACCTATAAAAAAGTCGAAATGAATCCCAGATTAAAACGAAACGACAAAGTGATGGGTGAGAGAGACATATAACTAATTAAATGAGATTAAAATCAAGAAAACAATTGTCTTATTGTTAAATCAATACAATCTCATTGTGTGTTTGGTGTCGTTCCCATGCGAACAGATGTGTCCAATGAATCGGTCGGCGCCCGAAAATTACCCGGAAATGGAAACGACCCCAATCTGGCGATTGACAATCGTGAGATGTATGAGAATATGCCGTTCCAGCGAAAGGTATGGCCCTCTTAATTGTAGCGATTTGACCAAAGTATTGATCATATGATACATATTTGACACATTATACAAGAAGTGTATGCAATTAAGCGGCACTTATAACCCTGGTACTTATATGCCTGAGTATAACCAAAATATGGCTCAACTAACACAAGAGTTGCGCAGAACTCAATCGGCCCGCTATCACAACTGCCAGGTCTTACCACACTTGCCATTGTCTTCAGACGTTGTCTTTGTATTGCATAACAATAGCTTTCAAACTAACTTTAATTAATGCTTTCATGTCCTAATAGACTTCCGGTGCAAACATATACAGCATATACGAGCGGAATGTGGTTTATGCGGACTTACAGCTAACCACTGATGGCAACACTCAATACAATATGTGCTTAAAAAGCAATCACAACTCCAGGAGAATTAATAGTCAAACTAATTATAACACTCTTAACAGTCATAATAAGAGTCATAACAAACATACAAATCATACAAATCATACAAATCATACAAATCATAATCACAATAATCTGTGCGATTACGCTGTCCTCACATTTGACAGCTCGCCCTCTCCTCCGAGTATTTGCTGACCATTACCTCCGTTTGATATGATCTATATCTAGCCGTTTGGTGTGGAAATGGATGACTTGCTTTATGCCGATATGTACGATGACGTGAAGAGCGGTAAAGTGAAAGACCCGCGAATCAAACCACCTCTTCCGCCAAAGGGAGCGCCCGTTCAGGCGAAGCCACCAAAGAGACCACCAAAGACTCAGAAAGCCCTTTAAATACTGTGATAATTATTTGTTGATACGAACCGGTAGTCTATCGGTTACGCTATTGCTCTCAAAATAAATTATTGTTTTATGTTTCAATAATTGAAAGCCTGTTATGCAAAAGACATTCAATTGTATATTTCAATGGAATTGACTTTTAATGAAAATATAATTATATTTTTGCTCTTATATTAAAAAGTCGTTTAATTATTTCTCTGAATATTATTATAATAAAATAGTTTAATTAATTGTAAAACAAGTTTTAAAATGAAATGCACTCTTGAAATTATTTCATATTTGCTTTCATCAATTCGTACAACAGTTTATAACAATTGTTATAACGATTACAATAAGAGGAATGCAATTAATTTGATATAAATTACACGAATTAAGCGTTTAATCGTAATTACAAAACCAAAAGCTAATCACTCGATATTAAATATGAGTTATTATTATTACAGGAATTAGTGTTCAAAAGCTACTGTATTACTTTCTATTAGTTAATCTGTAATTATCTCAATTACATCCAGAATTAATTGTAATTTCGTGTTATAATTTGTGTTACAATTACGGAGACAATTATTATGCCTTCTTATGAAAAGACAAAATATTTGAATAATTACAAACGAAACATGAAAAATACAATCTTTATTAACAAGAGATTTGTTATGAATAGCTTTTCCAATAAAACGAATCATAAATTAGTGAAGATTTTTAGCACACAATAAATTTTGTTATTTTCAAAGCGATGAGAGAAACAATGAATTCACATATTTTTATATTTTGTGAATACAATACAATATAATAGAATTTGTGCAAAATTTATGGTAACATTGAGTCTAAACCGTCAGATCTAGAAATCAATGATCACAGAGAAGTCATAAATATGTAGTTTTTTAGCAAACAGTCTATTATTGAGAGTTAAAACTGCTTTGCTTTGCATTTTCGTTCACTCAACAGTTAAGCAACTTTTTCATGGTTTTGAATTACAAAAATAAAATTTTGAATTTTCTGATTCATAATATTGTCAGCAATTTTATATAAAAATATTTTATCTTATTTTTGTTAAGAATAGGTAAATAAGTTTCAAATTGAAAGTAAGGTTTTTATGCAATAAGTTATTTGTATTACAGTAATAGTGAAGGTTTGTGTTTACGAAAAACAAATGGATTGTCAAATGTTGGCTAAAACTTTATACTTATTCTCAACGTTGGCTAAAATAAAACCTTAAAAAGATTTGTTTGACTTTTAGTTGTTTATATCGTATTATTTTATAGCAAAATGAGAGTAAAAGATCTCTTATGGGTTAATAATGGTTAGTAAGAGACGACAAAATTACTTTTTATTTTATATTAGGTTTAATCCCATTTCAAAATCTATCTGTTTATCATTTGGTATAACAGTGTGCTTTGCAATGAAATGTAATAGTGTTTTAAATTTAGCTCAGAATGTCATACTATATATTATTGAGTGTTAAAAAGTTAATGCATACAAGCTAAATTATACTTTACTTGCTGTGTGTTTACAAGACTAACATTTTTCTAAATGTTTGGTAAAATATAAATGACATTTTGATAAATGTTTGAAGGAAGTGATGAACAGTATATCTATTAACTAATGAATTGGCTTTAATTAAGCTCTACAACAAATCCTTAACCTTTTGAGTGATTGAATTCAATGAACGCAAAGATATCTGAAAATTTCAAACAATATTCCCATGAATTGAAACAAAAAGAGTTTGAAAGAGTAGTTTGAATGTTAAAACATTTCAGTTATGCATAAAAAAGATAATTATTTAAGATTTTGATCATTTCTTCTCTGAAAGATATAAATAAATTATAATTAAATAAATTATTTATAGAAATGGTTATAATAAGAAACTGAAGTCACGTTTTGTCACATTAAGTGTGTAAAGAATTTAAAATAAAATTCATTTAAATAATAATTATTTTAAATAACTATTGTGTGAAAAATATACGAGAAATTATTTTTTTAAAGATAATAGGAAAACAGACATAAAATAAATGTCTTATTGTAGTTAACCTTACTTTGAAGACATGAAATAAAAGCATTAAACTAATAACAAATTTATTAATCATTTATTAGAAATAGAGTGTAATTTGGCAATTATTTTAAAAAAGATTGTTTTTTATTTGAGTAAACTTTGTTTTTAGAGATAAAACGAAAAAACTTAGAAATTAAAAGAAAATCTACTAAAAAGTATAGCCAAGAACTTTCAAACATTGTATTATATTAAATAATTTATTGTTAGGAGAAATTCTCTTCAAATAATTATTAACACAACTTAATAGCCTTAAGTCAAAAGCAATCATATTTGTAAGCATTTTATGGTCTCGTCTGAAAATGTTTGGAGTTTTCAAAGTTTGTGATATAAGACCGCATATACCATACCATACCATATATTCTGTAGCCATAGCGCAGACACGTTCTCAATAAAGCACTCAATTATTGATCTAAATTGTAATCATGTCTTCATTATAATGACCACAATTTCATGTGATATAACAGTAAATCCAATGACTGATTGGATAAATGTTTATTTTGACCAAAGTCTGCGTTCAATCAAAATATAATATTCAAACAAATTTTTTATGAAACAAAAGATTTTCTTACAGATGGACAACAATCGATGCCTCGGGTTTGAAATTACAATGAATTTGTGGTTCAATAAGCTTCAGAGTTAAGTTTGCAGTGAATTTTATAAAAAGAATTTTGAATTTTAAAATAAAATTCTTTTAATATTTTGTGACATTTAATAATTTTATGGTAGAATACATTTTCCGTAAGTCACAAAAAAATTCTTTACTCACAGTGTGTTATCAAATCATTTTTGAGATCTTAAACAATTATTACACTTTAATATTCATATAAATTTTAAATTAGAAAACTATTAAATATTCAAAATGATTAAATATAATTTTAAATTCTGGGCATAACAAATTATGATCTATTAGTAAATTATCCCATAATTATTATTATAGTGATCTTATTAAATATATTTAAAATAAAATTATACTTGACTATTATATTTCAAGAATTTTAATCCAAATATCATGCATGCTCTGTATAATTTATTAGCTATTCAATAAAAATTATTTTTACAAACAAACACTGAGTATTGAATTACATTATTTTTAGCATTTATCCAGTATTTTATATAATATAATAACTGTTTACCATATAATATATTATAATATATTTAACTTACAAATTAATCAACCTAATTCATAATAATAATATAATATATTATATTTTACGGTATTTAATATCATATAATCACACTATATTATACAAGTATACAGTACGGTATAATTCTGAAATTGACATTACTAAATATTATTGTATTTACCTGTAATGGTATTTAAAAAATAATTATTCAATAATTTAAATAATATTGAATTTAAACTAGATGCTATTAAGTTATAATGTTTAAATGATAAGCTAACTAACATCAGTATAATTTAATAGCTGAAGAATTCAAAATTAGGTTTTCATTAGGACTTATAATATGATTATTCAGTCCAATCCTAAGTTATTTGCACTTGATTTTGGAAATCAAACTTTATATAATCATGTAATAACATTAATATTTTGGCAAATTCTAACAATTTTAAGAGGTTATATTTTAATAAATGTAATAATTATGACAAATTATTGTATGTTTGAAAAATTCATTAAAATATCAATATTTGCGGATAAAAGCGTTTTATTCTTTGATAATATTCTTAATGCTCTGATGTATACCCCATGAGAATCCCATAGAATAACAAGATATGGCTTAAGCCATACATCTCTGATCTAATGAGTGATAAACATAT